ACACACACACACACACACACACACACACACACAGATCAGCCCTGAGAAACACACCCATGACCAGTGAAGAGGTTTTTGTTCTTCCTCTGCACATTCGGCAGCATTTCTCATTCATACAGGTTTAAGGAGCACATTAAGACAGAGCTTGAACATGAAACGGAGAGATGGCTCACCAGGTAGATGATGAAGCTGAGATAGGCGATGGAGAGGAGGGCAGAGAAGACGTAGAGGACGGTGCTGTTGAGGGCCGTCACATACACCACCACAAAGTACATGTTGATGGCGCACACCACCAGGATGAGCAGACCCCCGCTGATCTTCCACACGCTGCAAACACAACACCGTCATCCACCGCTGATCACAGACTCCGTAAATCCATCACAGACTGACCAGATCTACACGCCAGCACCCCCTACTGGACACATCACTCAAACCAGCGTTGCCATCGTGTGCGAGATTCATTCTGTTTAACACACGGACCTAATCAAGCAGAGCGCTGTGATTTGTGAAGACCGCTCACAGTCAGCCGTGCTGAGTAATACCACCAAGATTTCTGAAAAAATTATGAAGTCCATAAAGTGCTGAGGTTCACTGTTTTATGCACATTCATAGTTTTCATCTCCTGCGCTGTCTGATGCATTATGATGCAAACAGAATATGGCACTTTCATTGGGCATTCATTTGGGTTACTTTAATGTCGTTAATTTAGATTTTACCTAAAGTAACCTACCCTGTAGAGACTGTGACACGTAAAACATTTCAGCCTTTTTTGATGCAAAATGCAACAGAAATATCACCCATCGATATATTTAAAGTTAGATATATACATCCTACTGTATAATCCAGAACGTGGCAGCAAAATTAGTCTTTAACGAGCCGAAAAGAACGCACGTCACACCATTGCACTGGCTACCAGTAGCTGCTCACATTAAATTCAAGGCATAATGTTTGCCTACAAACCCACCACTGGCTCTGCACCCCTTTACCTAGATTCATTACTTCAGAGTTATGTGCCTCTAGAAGCTTGCGTTCTGCAAGTGAACGACGCATTATTGTTCATCTCAAAGAGGCACAAAATCCTTAGCCATCATCAATGTGAGTCCTTAGCCATCATCAATGTGAGTCCTTAGCCATCATCAAGAATCGGCTAAAAACATATCTCTTCCATCTTTATTTGACCCTCTAACTATATCACTTTCTATTCTATTTCTATTCTAACTTCTTGTTTTCTTTTTATTTAAAAAAATGACCTTTTATAGCATTCTCTATTATTTTTCTATTCTTGTGACTTATTTTCTTTTTATTTATTTTTACAAAATTGAGCGTCTAACACTAGCGTTCTCTATTCTTTTTTTATTCTATCCACTAGTTTTCTTTTTTTATTACAAAAAAAAAAAACCTTGCTCCATGTACTGTGTTAGACTGCCCGAGACTTGTCACATTACTTAAATAGCATTGCTCTTTTGTTAGTTTTGACTGCTTCTATTGTCCTCATTTGTAAGTCGCTTTGGATAAAAGTGTCTCCTAAATGACTAAATGTAAATGTAAAATTAAGACACGAAAGAGAACTCAATTTGGTACTCGCGCACTGTTTGCTGTGTTCACTTTTGCATCTTTTCGTGCTTGAACGGACAAATACATGCTAAATTCAAAGTCAAAACGCCTGTTATGGCAAGTAACCAGGTAAGCGCAGTCTTAAATGAGTTCAAATAAAAAGTTTTAAATGAACATACACTGTTGTGAGAAAATCTGATAAGTGTCAGATCTATGCATTTGGTATGAAAGTGACCGCAGCTTTTAATATACCTGCTGTCTGTGTCAGTCTGGGTTAAAGAACAAAAGAAAAAACAAATGCTCAAATCTGCTCTTGACTTCTTCATCTTTAATATGGATTCATATATAAATATAATATATATTAATCTATAACTTTATACATTACAGTATTTGGTTCCTGAATAGTACGTTAAAGTACGTAGTAAGTTAAAGCACCATTTGTTTCATTTGTATCTGTGCTACTGATAGTAATTTGTTCATTTATTACTGACCATCTACTTGTCTTTATGTAACATGACTTATTAAAATGCAAGGTTACATGAGTCAGAAACAATGGAAACAACTTTTATAAGGTGTTTGCGAGGTGGCTTTATGTCCGTGTGCTTTGGATGTGACTGTGAGCTCAGAGAAAACCGCTGTGGAGCGTGTGACTACCGAAAGCTTTAGACTTAAAAAGACGTGCAAATTATAAACTTTTGTGACGATTAGGCAATTGTCAACTGTCCCCGAAAGCGTTGTATCGCAGTGTGTAGCAGCTCTTGTAGTGTCTTGTAATTTCCATGACTTTTCCCAAAACTTTTCCAGGCCTGGAAATTGCCATTTTAAAATGGCATGCTTTGGAATGTAGTGAAGTACAAGTTTGCTAAAGGACTGTTCTAACTTCTTGTTTTCTTTTTATTTCAAGCAATGACCTTTTATAGCATTCTCTATTATTTTTCTATTCTTGTGACTTATTTTCTTTTTATTTATTTTTACAAAATTGAGCGTCTAACACTAACGTTCTCTATTCTTTTTTTATTCTATCCACTAGTTTTCTTTTTTTATTACAAAAAAAAAAAAACCTTGCTCCATGTACTGTGTTAGACTGCCCGAGACTTGTCACATTACTTAAATAGCATTGCTCTTTTGTTAGTTTTGACTGCTTCTATTGTCCTCATTTGTAAGTCGCTTTGGATAAAAGTGTCTCCTAAATGACTAAATGTAAATGTAAATGTAAAATTAAGACACGAAAGAGAACTCAATTTGGTACTCGCGCACTGTTTGCTGTGTTCACTTTTGCATCTTTTCGTGCTTGAACGGACAAATACATGCTAAATTCAAAGTCAAAACGCCTGTTATGGCAAGTAACCAGGTAAGCGCAGTCTTAAATGAGTTCAAATAAAAAGTTTTAAATGAACATACACTGTTGTGAGAAAATCTGATAAGTGTCAGATCTATGCATTTGGTATGAAAGTGACCGCAGCTTTTAATATACCTGCTGTCTGTGTCAGTCTGGGTTAAAGAACAAAAGAAAAAACAAATGCTCAAATCTGCTCTTGACTTCTTCATCTTTAATATGGATTCATATATAAATATAATATATATTAATCTATAACTTTATACATTACAGTATTTGGTTCCTGAATAGTACGTTAAAGTACGTAGTAAGTTAAAGCACCATTTGTTTCATTTGTATCTGTGCTACTGATAGTAATTTGTTCATTTATTACTGACCATCTACTTGTCTTTATGTAACATGACTTATTAAAATGCAAGGTTACATGAGTCAGAAACAATGGAAACAATAACTTTTATAAGGTGTTTGCGAGGTGGCTTTATGTCCGTGTGCTTTGGATGTGACTGTGAGCTCAGAGAAAACCGCTGTGGAGCGTGTGACTACCGAAAGCTTTAGACTTAAAAAGACGTGCAAATTATAAACTTTTGTGACGATTAGGCAATTGTCAACTGTCCCCGAAAGCGTTGTATCGCAGTGTGTAGCAGCTCTTGTAGTGTCTTGTAATTTCCATGACTTTTCCCAAAACTTTTCCAGGCCTGGAAATTGCCATTTTAAAATGGCATGCTTTGGAATGTAGTGAAGTACAAGTTTGCTAAAGGACAGATACCTGAAAAATGTACTTAAGTACAGTAGCAGAGTAAAAATCCTACATTAACTTCACAATACTTCCAGCACTACTAGTGCAATACTTTCTTGTGTCTTGGAGGAAGTTTTATGTTTTGCATTTTCATACTGCTTGACTTCAGCATCATTCTCATTGTGATAACTGCTGAGAGTTCAACAGAGTACGGACACGGATACTCACAGTCCGTTGGCGAAGTCGTTCATCAGTGAGGTCAGGCTGGTGAAGGTCAGGATGGGGATCAGAGCGAACGGCAGCTGTTCAACACAAAGAGCATGATTGCCATTTTAAAATGGCATGCTTTGGAATGTAGTGAAGTACAAGTTTGCTAAAGGACAGATACCTGAAAAATGTACTTAAGTACAGTAGCAGAGTAAAAATCCTACATTAACTTCACAATACTTCCAGCACTACTAGTGCAATACTTTCTTGTGTCTTGGAGGAAGTTTTATGTTTTGCATTTTCATACTGCTTGACTTCAGCATCATTCTCATTGTGATAACTGCTGAGAGTTCAACAGAGTACGGACACGGATACTCACAGTCCGTTGGCGAAGTCGTTCATCAGTGAGGTCAGGCTGGTGAAGGTCAGGATGGGGATCAGAGCGAACGGCAGCTGTTCAACACAAAGAGCATGAGATCAGAAGATCTGCTGGGGTTCAGCAGCGGCTCCACGGCGTCACACACGAGTACCTGCATGCTCTGCAGCACGTTCAGGAAGTCGTTCATGCCGGTGAGATGCTGCACATCCTCGAAGACGGCCACCAGGAGCGTGGGGAAGATGGCGATGGAGCGCGTCAGCAACACTCGAGCGAAGCGCGACCAGCGCAGGTTCAGGAAACCCTGGGGAGCCGGGAACAGGGACGCTTTCAAACACACCCAAACACAGTGCCATCCTGTGAACCAAACGGTCTGCAGATCCACATACCTCCATCACAAACTGACCAGAGTAGGTTCCTGTCATGGTTGAACTCTGTCCAGCGGCGAGGATCCCAATGGCCCAAATATACAGCGCAGCCGGGCCAAAAAAACAGCCCAGAACCACTCCCTTCAATCACAAAAGAAACCGCTTCATTCATTCACAAGCACACAAAGTTCATATGAATGACATGGATATTCGATCGAATATAACATTTGCAGTGATGACTTTAATCAAAGTGCTTTAACCCCTGAAGTGCCCCCCCCATTTTTGAACATAGACGTGAAAGTGCACTATCCAAATTTAAATTATAATTCATGAAAACTTTGGAATACAGATTGAAAAGGTTGGACTCCTTTTTTAAGAAGACAATCTGCAGATTACTGCAGAAGTGGAATCATTTCAAAATATTAAAGTATCAAAAAGTTATAGAAGTTTAAATTTACTGTAAAGAAAATGCACTGTACCGATTTTTTTTATTTTATATAAAGTAAATATTTTACAAAATATTTTTGAATCCAAAATTGATATAAAAATAAAGCCTTATGTCTAAATAAGTTATGTTTCAAATTTGAAGTTGATATAAAAAAAAAACTGAGGTTGCTGTGACATTTTATTTAGGGCGTTATACCACAAACAGCCACCGGGTGCCATCCAAACTCTGTAGAATTTTTGTTGATGCATTTTTCTGTCATGAAGGTCTAAATTTCTCTGTCAATATTACTTCTCAAGATTATAAAAACTTTTGATTCTAAAAGACCGTAATACATTTTGTAATATGACACTAGACTCCACCCACTAAGGGGAGGAGACCGCTAAAAGATTTTAAAGTACCATTTCCATGGTAAAGCAATGTCCGATTTAAAAATGGTTTTCACAGGATGAATTTGAGGTTTTAAGCTTTCAAATGATATATAATGTATGATGATTACTAAAATATGTGATAGAGAAAAAAGACAACAAATAAAAGAGCGCCATTGGGCCCACCTGTGGGCCGGTGGCACTTAAGGAGTTAAAAGCCAAAGATTAATTATTAAATATGACATTTTGACCAACAGGTGGCGCTGTCACCAAACTCCTCTGGTCATGGGAAGCATGCAACACTTGCGTTCACATCTATGCATTTGGCAGATGCTTTCAACCAAAACAACTTGCATTGTGCTCAAGGTACACATTTGTTTTTTCATCAGTTCTTGCATTCCCTGGGAACCGAAGCCATAATCTACAGATTGAGCTACAGGAAAGATACAGGCTCGAGAGTCTTTCTGGTGTCTGATGCACTAAACAAGATAATCCAAAAAGCTTTTGCCCATCAAATATTTAACGATGTACAGAACAATGAAATGGCAGACACGCAATATGGAAACATGGAAATAGTGCAAGATATTCTGGTGGACTGACATCGTATCTGATTGGCTAAAGAAGACCATTAAAAAAGCACTGGTGAATCAAACCTTGTCAGAAAAAAAAACATACATCCCAGACGAGTCTGTCAATGTGGTTATCATATTCAGTGACTATATTCAGTGTGAGATTATTCCAAACAATGCAGCGTAAGGCATTTGTTTGTGTCGTACCCCTTTGTAGATGTCGACCTCCAGTGTTTCGTTGTTGGCAGGGAAAAGCTTACTGTGAGGACTTCCGGTTTCATTACACTTCTGACCCTGAAGAGAAAAGATAAACCGCAGTTATATATTCATACTGGGGTGGGCGATATGACCAAAAACATATTTCACGGTATGAGAAATTTTATTTCACGATAACGATATATACAGGGGTTAAAGCAAATAAAATCCTGAGCCTGAACTTTTTTTCCGGGGGCGGGGCTGGGGGGGCAGCACATGCAAAGCATGCAATGACTGGCAACTTTAACATTTGAAAGGATACTATGGCAAAGTTATCGCTTTCTTTATTCAAACTGATTTATTTTTTTCATGAATATATGGTTGACCTGAAGAATGAAAGCTGTATCATACACTTGGAAAATTATGAGCTATATCACCACTTATCGACACTAGAGGTGTGACAATACACCTAGCTCACGAGATGAGACAAAATACAGATACTTGGTTCACTAGAACCAGACAATATCTTAATACTATTTTTAAGAAATTTTCAATGACAAAATATGTGTCTTTTAATTACAAAAAGTAAAACAATGCAGTTGTATTTAGAAATATTTTAACTAATCTAGGGCTGGAACTAATGATTAATTTGGTAATCAAGTAATCTACTGATTATTTTGACAATTGAGTAATCTGATATTTTTTAGTAACAAACAGACCTAAGTGAAAACCAGGCTTTAGTATGACTATTTATATATAAACTAACGATGAGGCAATAATAATTGGCTCAAATAAAATATCAAAACCAAGAAATTACATGATTGAATTGAACAACACTGTTAAAGTACATAATGTAATATGCCTATACATAATATGAAGATAACCAACTTAAGTACATTATGTATTATAACAAATACCTGCAGAAGGCGCCAACGGCCTGGTGACGTTACACTTTACAGCGTGATTAAACGATGTTTAAATCCATTTAATTTGAATATTTGGCCACATGCAGAAACTTGTATTTTGAAATCGCGATGTACAATACATGGCATATTTAGAAATA